AACAGTCCACTTTTAGATTAGTAGCCAAAAGCATATCATTTGCACCATCCAGACATTCACTTTAGGACCAAGCATGGTTAATACTGGAGTCCTCTAGCTCTACCTGAAGGAGCTCTGGTGGTGTAGTCTATGCTGCTACCTCAAAGGCAGCACCTTTCTGGTGGTTCAAATCCACCAGCACCTCCCTGGGAGAAAGACAGGCAATCTCCTCTTGAATAAGTTACAGCCTCTGGAAACCCAACAGAAGGTCAGCTATGAGTCAGTTCCAACTCATTGACAATGAGCTGAGTTGAGAGTAGCTCTATGAGAGATGTACAAGAAAGAGGCCCCATACAGAATCAGGATCTCACCCCTCACCATGACACCATGCCTCATTACCTGCTGCCTTCTCCAGACCATAACCAGAATGGAGATTTTCTTCTAATAGAACATATCTGAGTCCCATGCTTTCCTGAACCACATGACCTTGGTTTAGGGCCTCCAGTGGAACTTTCTTCAAGACTCTCTACTTGACAGCCTACTTCCTCAGGTCTCCAGCCCTGGCATCACCACAGAACTACCTTATGCCTTAATTACTGAGTGTTGCTATAATAGAAATACCGTAAGTGAGTGGCTTTAACAAACAAGAATTTCTCCTACGAGTTTGTGTTGTTGTTAGGTGTTATCAAGTCTAGCACGACTCTCAGTGATCCTATAAACAATATTTCTGAACCCTGTCTTATCCTGTGCCATCCTCACAATCTCTGACACCCTCAAGCCTCATTGCTACAGCCATGGTGTCAATCTTCCTGGTTGAGGGTCATCTCTACTCCACCGACCCTCCATTCTATGTCAGCTCTTGAGAAACGTCCTCATAGATTTGTGCTTCTGCTTCTGTGTAATCATCATGTGGTATGGCATCTCTCTTCTCCACTTCTGCTCCTTGAAAGCTTGTTTAATCTCATTCGTCTTTCAAAAGAGATTGACTCAAGTACACTCTATGCTAATCCTGTCTCATCAACCTAATAAGGACAACCATTTTCCAGAAGGGATTATAAGTGCAGGTACCTTGCTCACTGTTGTAGGATGGGTTCTGAATCGTGGCAAGCCAATTTTGAACCATTGGGTTTCCAAGGCTGTCAATCAGTAAGGGAAAAGGCTACCAATCTTTATTCAGCTGAGGAGTGGCTAGTGAGGTCAATTTCTGGTTTTTCAAATGACATCTAACATGTAATCCACTATGCCACTCAACTCAAAACTCAACTCATTGCTACTGAGTTGGAATCAACCCATAGCTGATCCTCCAGCAGGTTTTCAGAGGTTGTAAATACACAGGAGGAAATTGCCAATCCTTCTCCCATGAAGCAGCTGATGGGTCAAGCCACATGACGTGGGATTGCAGCACAGCTTCTTACTACTAGGCCACCAGGGCTCCTTCTCGTGCAGTTGCTAACAGACACAAAAAGGGGAGAAAAGCTAGCCAAATGGTGAAGGTTTGGAGAGGTGGGAAACACTCCCGTACCACCAAGAAAGAACTGCCAGGAGTGGAGTTCATCCTTTGTGGACCTGAGCCCCAGAACATGGAAGTTCCATGATGCCAGGGAAGCAAGGACATTTGGAGGTCTCCAAGAAACACTCAATCTTCAGATGCTGAAGGAAACAAGTACTTCCCACCACAACTGACAGGGCTCAACTCAAGACAACTCACTGTCATCAAGTTGGAACTGACTCATCACTGACTCTCCAGCTATGAGGGGCTGTAAATCATTCAGGAGTGGCATCCACTTCCTAAACAACATGCCTCTGGAATCTATGAGCTTTGATAAATGTCTATAGTTGCAGGGGGGCTTCAGGCCTTTTGTTCATAGGGTTGCTATGAGTCGTGCTCGACTCGAAGGCGACCAACAACAACAACAAAACAATCATACAAGAGGAGCTTGCCCACTTTCTCTCTCATAGTTGCTGGTGGATCCGAGCCACAGGAAAGGTGTCACCTTTGACACAACTACCTACAGATTACACCACCAGAGTTCCTGTCCCCTACAATCAGCACCCTGAATTCAAACCTGTAGCCTCTTAAACTATTGATTAAAGCTACCCACTTGGGCTTTCTGTTACCACAGCACTAGAAAACCAGGGTGAGATCTCTTGAAATGCTAATCTCAGAATTGTCAGTGAGTGGTTAGTGGGCTGTCTCAGTCCAGCCACTGAGCACCTTCAGTTTCGGAGCAGGGGTCTCTGGATCTTCTGAGCGCATCTCAAGGAGCTCCTGTGTTTCCACTACACCGTGGCCAGCTCCTCCTGCGGCTGCACAATGACTTCCAGCTTTCTGGAATCTACCCTGGGTCCACTCTCTCTCTCCAGGACATAGCTACCATCTGGGCTGCAAAGAAGGTTGTGCCTCTCAGGCTGGGGCTAAGTCAAGCAGGGCCCAGCCTTCCTCATGCCCTTCACCACGAGGCTCTCACACCCCTCCCAGAGGTATGACTGGTGCTGAGTTCTCAAGCCCTGCAGACTAGAGTAGGAAGTAGCCTAGGGAAAAGGAGGAAGTGGGTTTTGGGTGAGCAGGAAGCCCAGATAATGGGATCTGGGCTTAGCTCTGGAAAGCTCTGTTTTAAGGGTTAGGTAAACCTTTAAACCTGGGAGAACTTGAGGTAGTAAGTATGATGTATGCATATGGTATAAGTTACGTGGCTAGAATGGAGAGACAGATGAGAACCTCAGCAGGAAGGTGAGAAACCCTAGTATGAGACATGACAGCCCAATACACAGGCCACAGAGGCAGCCCCACCCCTGAGATGTGATGAAGAAGCAAGAATTCTTGAGTCAAAACACCACCCTGACGAGGTACCAAGATGCCTACTTCTGTATTAGTGCTCTACACATTGACGGTTAGGTATCACCCTCTTAGCCAGCAGTGATCATTCAGTGGTAGAACTTCCACGCAGGCGTTGTTACATACCACTGAGTCAGAACTGACTCATCACTGACCCTCCAGCGGGTTTTCAGAGGCAGTTTAATTGCACAGGAGGGGATTACCCATCTCTCTTTCCATGGGGCTGCTGGTGGATTTGAACCACCTGCCTTTGGGTTGGCAGTCCAAGCCCTTCCCACTAAGCCACCAGAGTGTCCCTCCTTGTGGGACAGGCAGGTTCGATTCCCAGACAGTGTGCCTCATATGCAGCCACCATGTATCTCAGTGGAGGCGTGCATGCTGCTGTGGAGTGGCGTGGGTTTAAGTGGAGCTTCGAGGCGCATACAGATTAGGAAGAAAAGCCAACTGGACGCTAGCAACCTTGCCCTCAGGATCACCTGATGGGGGCAGTGCCAGAAGTCTCTGGGTCTTTAATCCAAGGAGGAATCTGGAGGAAACAAGAAAGGACTCAAGGTGTGAAGAGCTAAGTGAAAACTACAGTGACTAGAGCATTTTAACAGTGAGTGCCATGTGAGAAAAGGATGGATTCTGCTAGAAAGTGGCTGAGCATCTCTCCACCAAGAATATACCCCAGATAACTCTGGCCAAAGATGCCTTCAGTAGCAAACTCCAGCAGCAGAAGAGTGGCCAACGATTAGTCCAGAGAGGCAAACATTCAAGTCCTCTAACCACCTGCAAATTCAGGAGAGGTTCCCTGATCCATGTCCCTGTTTGGACCTCAATTCACTGAGACTTCATCAGTCACTCCCTTTCTCCAAATCTCAGTACCCAGTTGTTGCATGGAGAACTATGGTGGTTCCTCAAGCCTCTATCGATCCATCTACTATCTATCTGTCTGTCTCTATCTCATTCTCTCTCTCCTTCCCTCCATCTCCAGTCTCTATACTCCATATCTCTCTTTCT